ATTACACATAGGCCTACAGGGTTAACTAATATTCACTGAGAGTTTGGTTTTGGAATGAATAAGCCAATACATGTATGTCCTCTTATTCTAAGTTTTACTTAGGAGAAAAAAGAGAAGTATCTCATTCTTTGTTTTTAAGCTTTAATAAGAACAGCAACAGAGGAAACTGATACTGAATCCCAGCACGCTCACAATTTTGGAGAAACAAATGTGTTTCTTGATTTTTTGGAATGTTTACATTAAACATCTAGCTTCAAGCCTCGAGGTCTCACAGCCATGGCTGGATTAAATATCACATATTCATTTGTAAACATTTTCATTTAGAAGAAATGTCACGCCCTCGCTTCGAACTTCACAGATTTGATAAACTACTTAAAAGCACATTACATGTTACTTGTTAGACGCTTTTATCCAAAGCGTCTTACATACTCAATACTGTGGGCAGTCACCACAGGAGCAATTTGAGGTGAAGAGTCTTGCCCAGGGACACAACAACATGCTGACTGCAGTGGGATTCAAACTTGCTATCCTCTGATTAGAAGATCAGCGCACTAACCCACTGCGCCACACGCCTCCCACACAAGCACAAAGTGAAGATATCAGCAGACAAGGAACCCTGTTCCAAATGTCAAATAAAATACTTAAGCAATATTAATGTTGTAGCAACATGTCTGATTGCATAGCAACCGAAACGCAACAATGCAGCATGTTGTTAATGTCAAGTTTGTTGCTTGAAATGCAACTAAATGAAATAAGTGCAAAGTAAATACCATGATGGTTAAATGCAGCTACAGAAAATTGACTTTGATGCTATAGATGCAAACTTTTGTATGTACTTCAAATGTGCCATTTTAATCTAGATAAAAGCATTCACTGTAGAGATGTCGAATAAGTCTTCCTGCAGCAGGATACAGTCAGATCAGACTCAGACAACGTTGGCCAAAGCAAATATCCATCTGTCTGTTTCTTGCTGAGAGGAGCGTGTAGGGCATAGAGTGCACACACACGCACACACACACCTCCCATCACCAGCTGGATCGGAGAAAGCAGCACTTGGGGAACAGTTGACATGCTGATCTCTTTAATGGTTACATCCTCCACACCCAACACCCGAGACACTGAGAGACACATGCGCTTTCATTAGTAGAAAAATATATATCGCAACATTCCTTCCCCCAGATTCAAAACACACACAGCTCCCTCCTGCTCTCTCACACACACACATATGCACACTATCCTGTTAACCACCCCCACCTCCATGCAATCAGAGGCTCAGAATAGGAAGGAGGGAGAGGAAGCGGCCCTGCATTCACAGGCTGGGAACAAGGAGAAGGAAAAACAGCCGGAACCTGGAATTCACGGAGGAAAAAACAACGGCCATCCAAAAATACCTCAGAACCATCTCCGCAGATAAACAGAAATATCATTAGTCTCATCCTCTTGCTCAGGACAGTTTTCCTCACACACTTCCTTTTTCACAACTTTGCTACTGGCATCTCAACATCGAGGAAACTCTCGCTCGAGTAGCAAAGCTTTTTGATATTTGCACAGGGATATCATGCAGAAGCTCTAGCTATGAACATCATTAGTGGTTCTCCCTGCTGCTGGGGGATGAGTTTAGTCTTCAATTTCTTGTAGGGTTGATGATTATTTCTATTTTCATATTGTTCAAATGTGTTTAATTGGGATTGCCTATTGATCACCAGGCAGTGGGGGAAAGGATGCATTCCTGGGCCTTTTGGTCCACATTGGTGCGACAATATCACATCATGTTCAATTTAACAGTATTATCCTATTCTATAATTGATATCACAATCATATCCATAATATGAACTACTCCTATGGAGCTCAGTCTGTAGGGACTTGGTTTGGTAACTGAAGGGTCACTAGTTCAAGTCATTAGTTTCATTCGATTTTTAAAGTGGTTCAAGTCTGGACCAAAAATATGGGGTGTGGAATGGTAGCTGGAGAGGTGCAAGTTTACCTCCTGGGCACTGCCGAGGTGTCCTTGAGCAAGGCACCGAACCCCCAAATGCTCCCAAGTGCCGGAAGACTGGCAGCCCTTTAGCTCTTCCACCTCTTCATTAGCGCATGTCTATAGGTTTGTGCATGTGCGTGTCTATTTCGGGCCTATGTGTTTAATTGTAAAATGTGTATGAGTGTAAAACTGGATTTCCCCTCGGGGAATAATAAAGGTAATCTAAATATTGTATCTTAAAACAACGTTTTGGCCAGTAGGCCAAAGATGTGGCGAGTTGGATCCCCAAAAAACATCTCATAAGGACTTTAAAGTAATATTTTAGAAGATCTCAGTTGTATAAAGTCATTTCAAATCGCCTAATGTTAGCAAAGGAAAAACCAAACGTCAATCATCTTTTCATTGTCTATATGGTCCATTAGCCAGCCAAAACAAGGCTGATTTGCTTCCTTACTTTCAATTCACCTTTACATTTCTAAAGTTGTGTTATGAGGTTTAGCATTCAACAGTCACACAACAGGACAATATCAGCAATCTGATGCTCCTTCGGAAATGTATCAACATACAAGTATAAATGGAAGAAATAATTAATTTTGGGGTCAGAAAGGATGAACCGTCCATTATGAACAAACTAAATGGAAGTAAATGGAAGCCTTTCATAATCATCTGCTCCTTTAAGCACATATAGGCTTACCAGACTGTCAGCTGATGTGGGCAGCTCTGTGACAGAGACCTTCCTGTGGCTCAGAGGTGAGGTTCACTGACCCTGAGGTCATTTCCTCTGACCCCTTCTTCCTAATTGATTCAATTTCCTAGCCATAGCTCCCCTATTAGGATGTTCTAATAGACCTATATCTCCTCTGTAATATACCCATCCATCGTCAACAAAAAAGGGCACATTTCACTTAGTGCGAATGCTGTGCATCTTCAAATCTTTAATCTTATTATTATGATTTCAACCAATAGTTTGGCTCTCAATAACTTCAGCATACTTTCAGCTACAGAAACCATTCAAATATCAAAAATATTCAGCCTTTTCAGCACATGATGGGAAACTTTCAACTTTTTCAAAATATTTTATACTTTCTGAAATATTCAGCTTTTTAAACTCTCTTTTTAGTGGGAATGCTGATACAGCATTCTCACTATCTGTTCTTCTACGGACTAAATTCTTTATTATTCCGCCAGGTTTTTTGTCCCTCTTCTGCTCCCACATTCCACATCGCAGAAACTCTGTTCAAACATCAAAATGTTCAGCTTGGTCGGGAATCGATTGCTATTACTTTTCTCATTCATAACCTTCATAATTCCCGAGATGTACCCCATAATTCATCACATTTTTAACATGGAAGTCAATGGAGAAACTCTTCAGACTTCAAAAATCTTCATGCGATTTCAACTGCTAACTGTTCCTTCATACTTTCACTCAGAAACCTCATTCCAACTTTAAAATGTTACACATCTTTCTGACATTATTCAATTTAACTTTTAAATCAGATTCATACTTTTAGAATGAATAATTCTAAAAGTTAATAACGTTAACGGTAAAAAAATGTAACGCCACTAATTATTTTAATGTGCGATTAACGCATGTGTATTTGTCCTCTGCCCGCCCCGTAGTTTCAGAGCCCAAAGGCTTGACGTTGTTGTTGTTGTTGTTGTTGTTGTTGTTGTTGTTGTTGTTGTTTTTGTTGTTGTTGTTAGTTGGATGGTGGGAGTCAGAGATTCTAGCGAGAGATATGGAAAATTTTCAACTTTCAATTTACGTAGTGGACACGTGAAACTCTGTTTACTCCACTCATTTAGATACGTCAGTCTCCGAACCTGACACTCAGCATCCCAGGCGGCCAAGTTCAAGGGGCTGGTCTGATGTAAACTCACACTGAAGATTGACCTCTTCCAGCAAGTGGAGGACGGGACGGCACCACGAACTGTTCGGTGGCAAAAAAGACGTTTCCTGTCCTTGCTGACTAAGCACATTTTTCTTACTTCCCCCGGTACATGCACTCTAAAACTCACTGTTGGAGGGAAGTAGTCGTTCCCGTAACTTCTATTTGCACGCCCAGAAAGTGTTACTGTTTACTTAGGGGTGTGTTAAGTCGTAAGGCGGGCCGCGGTTGCTTCTCACTGAAGCATTCTCGTAAAGTTCAGGACCTCACGGATCGGTCAGAGGTCTAGAGTTGGGGTATCTTTTAGGAACCTCCTCAACTTGTTCAGACACACGGAGTCGCTGTCGGGGGTTTGTGTGACGCGATTCTCCTCTAGACGTACCTCTTACCCCGGTTTATGGTCTTTGTCACACACTTTTGGAACACTTTTGAATGTCTTTTGCAAACTGGAGCCAGTAACGGCTCCTTGTTTCCCCCATATATGTGTTTCATAACTTACTTTGAAACAATTACCCTGGTTTATAACTATAAGGTGGTATTACGTTTATTTGGTAAATTTTACGTCGTGTTCACTAAAGATTAAAGAAAAGAGCTAAAACAGCGCGATACTCCTATGATTAATCCTAACTTTTACTGTCCGGAGAGCGTAGCAAAATTCACCTCTGAACGGTGTTAACCACCCACTGATTTTTGAAAAACGGGGTGACCATCCACGAAGAACGCTT